ATATTTCAAGAGTTTTCCTAACTATTTTCGATAGCAAAATAAAGCAAGAAGTAGATGATATCTTCGACACATTTACAGGAACTCAACTTCTCCCTCAAACACTTTTACTGATACTCCCAAAAAATTAAAAATCTAAAATAGGTTCACATTTCCGATACAATCATAAAAAGAGAAATTCTCATTCGTAACTGGACATGAACAGATTTGCAATATACTGATTGGAGAATGTTACTTCTAAATTACCATTTACATTTAAAGTAGCCAAATACACAACTGTAAATGCATTCTATACTTCCCAAACATATGATGGAAACATGAACAATGACAAGCACAAAATAATGCTAATGACTAACTAGTGGGCCATATACTCTTAAGGCGAGTACAGTGACACGAGAAGCACACACAAAAAAAACAATCAGGGGAACATTCCGGCCATTTAGATGGCTTAAAAACGGAACACTCATCACCCTTTTAGACAACTTAGGATATGAAGGATAACTAATGTTCAAAACATCTCATATCAGACATATTTAAATCAACAGATAGGAAATTACAAACCAACACATTGAACATGAAATCTAGTACATAATCAGAGAAAAAAATATTTTTCATTTTTTTGCGAGGCATTTACCTTGTTGAGAGAAGCGAACCGAACGGACGAATAAGAAGGCAGCCGACTTCATCACTGGAAAACTTCTCACGCAAACGATGACCAAAGAAATTGACAGCGAACCAAGAAATTTCTATTTCGGAGCTGTATTTCGAGCGTATTTTTAACAGTTCCAAGTATTTCTGTCAAGAATTTCCAAACCCAAGGCAACTCCTAAGTTTTTAATTACTTTTTTTAGTTTAAAATTTCCAGCCTCCAAAAATCTTTTTCTCCTTTTTGTGAGCTCTCTCTCTATATAGTCTTTTCAATAACAAAAGAGGAGACTTCGGCTAAAAGAGAAAAACTTTTCCCAAAAGTTTCCCTTAGAATATCACTATAATTGACTATATCAAGAGAAACAATAAGAACTCTTTGGGTATTTTTTATCTCTGCGGCCGCCCTCATAAAAAAAGGAAAAGCAAGCTTATATAGAGGGGTTTTAGGGTTCGATTTTTAGGGAGGAAAACACCCAAAACCTGATGGGGAAGGCCTATTCTATTTGAATTTCAAAAACCTTTCCAAATTTGGATCGACAACCCTCTTTCGAAGATTCGGCCTCAAACCAGAAAAGGGAAAGATATGAACGTCTGGGATCAAATTCTTGTCCTTGGCGTCGATGTGGATCAATCTCATACGACCAAGGATGGTTTTCACGTGCTGTCGCCTATCGAGAGTTGAGAGAGACGTTGAGGAAAAAAACAAAAGTTGCAGTGTACCGGCCCGCCTTTCATTACTTTACGTTACAATCGCTCTCGTCGTCTAGAATCAATCACGCGCTACTATCATTACTTTGACGCTGCTAGTTAGAGATTGTCGCTTCTGGGTTTCGCTTCTCTACGCGTGGAGAAGATGAATGCGCAGGGATTTAGGGTCGGGTCTGGGGGGTTATGAAATTGGGCCACAAGAAATTTGGGACTGAGAGTGCTAGGACGAGCCGAACGAAAATATGGGCTGGGACTAAATAATTTAGGTTGCTTTAAAAAAAAGGCTGGGAACTTGTGTTGGGTTGAATTTGCTAAGATCCAAAAAAGGACCAAATTTGGTCCTTTAATAATACTACCAAATTAGTGAGATTACTTTGTAATTGGTCAAATTGATCAATTTTTTTTAACAAGCTTCTTATGGTTAACAAAGATAAAAACAATTAATTCTATTATAAACTAAAAATTCAAAATATAAGCTAAAATAATTAACCAAATATTTATAAAAACAAAGTTCTACTTTTATTATTTTTTCTATTTTGAATATTAATAAAATTTAAAATAATTATATCAATAATTATATAAAACATATACACTATCTAAGACGATATAAAAAGTGTCAAACTTTATTAAGAACGACTTGCAAGCTAAATTTATTTATTATATACATAATCAATTATTTTACACTACTTAAACTTGAGAAGCTCGCTAATTAAATTCTATCGAGGAGGGTCAAAATTGGGTGTCAACAACTGTCCCTCGTTTTACTCGGATTGATGTAAGAAATTCGAGGAAAATGAAATTGACCAGACCAATTTTTACTGACCACACATTCAACCAAGAAAGGGATTTGGTACGGACTTTAGGAATTATGTCTGAACCTCAAAAATGAGCTTCCCTACATATCTAAGGCTATATGAGAATTGAGGCCACTTGTAGTTCGCTAAGCTTGATTTAACACACGAGTTTGAAAGAATTGAAGAGTCATCTCGATACCGGATTGTGGAGGGATCGAAATGCTCGGAATGGTATTCAAGAGTAAATATTGGAATACAGTCGGGTTTTCAGCATTGTGTGCGCCCACATATCCTTAATCTTTAGGAATCAGGCTATTTGTAGTTTGACACAATCGGTTGAAAAAGGATCTCTATTATGCTAGACAACCTTTGGTTCTAGATGAGCAACAAATTAAATGAGTTTGAAAAGGAGTCTTGTAACCTCTTAGCAATGAATGTGGCGCGCTTCACACCCATGCTTAAGAACTTGCACAGACATAATTTCTAAGGCTCTTGGTGATTGCCACTCATATTGGAAACTTGCCTCCGGTGACACCTAAATCTCCGGATGCAAAACCGAAGCTGACAAACTGAAAGAAAAACCCACACGCCTTATGATAGGGGTGTGGTTTGAATGTGGTGGAAGTCGTTCCGCTGCTCGCATCCTAAGAGCTCGACACTCCTCTTTGGACTACATCCCTATTCGCTGCTCAGAAAAAGTTCCACGTTGTGCTGCGTCCCTTTTGACGTCGTGTGCACCTGTAGTTTTGGAGAATTTATCCTGTCGGATGCTCTGGACAAAGACAGAGATAAAAACTCTTCAGCTTAAAAATGCAATTGAGATGGGAGATAGTGTCTTTTACGATGTCGACACTTAATTATTCTCCTCGACCTTCGACGTCAACTTGATTGTTTTGACGTAAAGCAAATAAAGCTTATGTCTTGTGTTTGCAATGTGATCTTCAATGTACTCTCCATTTGATGTCAATATAAAGGAAATTTGATGCGGTGTGCTAGCATTTGTTGTCGTCTTTGATGCTTTTATTGATGTTTACTTTTATCAAAATAAAAGAATGCAGTTGATGCCGATGAATAAATATTTCTCTTCGGATGCACGATTTCCTTTTTTGATGGTGCATGACTTCTGCGGGGCATGAATATCTTCCCACGATGCGTAAATGTCTGCGAGGTATGAAATCTTCTCACGATGCATAACTTTCTGCGAGACATGAAATCCTCTCGCGATGCATAAATTTCAATGAGGAATGGAATCTTCTCGTGATGTTTAAATTTTTGCGAGGTATGAAATCTTTTCGCGATGCATAAATCTCTGAGAAGTATGAAATCTTCTCGCGATGCATAAATACGAGGCATGGAATCTTCTTGCGATGCATGAATATTGACTCGCGATGCATGATCTTCAGCGATGCATGGATATTGACTCGCGATGCACGATATTTCGTGATGCATGAATATTGACTTGCGATGCATGGTCTTCTGTGATGCATGAATAATGACTCGCGATACATGATTTTTCGCAATGCATGAATAATCATATCGCCTCCAACGATGATAACGGTAAAACGACTTCCCATTAGTATATCGTCTTGATCGATAATAAAATAACTCATCCCTCCGGGTAATGCATTATATCATACCCAACATTATGGTGCAAATTACATCCTTTATGGAAGTCGTAAACTCTTCCTTGAGATTTTCGCTTGATTCACCTTCGAATCTAGCTTGACATTCTTTATAAATTTCATGTTGTTGGAAATTAATTGAAATAAACAATTCATATTTCCTAGTCTCCGACATAAGCTATATAAAATGCTTCCTGATTCTAAGGAAAACTATTGATTTTGAGATAGTTTTCTCCTCTTTTGATTTCTCCATATTCATCCATCGGAAGAATTTGCTGATTTCAGAGGAAAGTTATAAACTTGCGTCCACAAAAAAATTGTTTAGTTTTAAAACAAACTGATATATGTTGATTTCTTCAGTTGTCTGCTCCTTGCCCTGCTATCTCCGGTTGATTTCCCAATCTCCTGACTCTTGATAGATGAGACAAATATTTTATGCCATAACAAATGAAACATGAAATGGAAAATTTAAGAAAAATAAATTTTTGAGAAATAGTATCTAAAAAAAAAGTCACTACCAAGTCATGTCATATCAGGCTTAACAAACTTCTTTGAGTCTGATGCTTGGAGGTTTATTTGATTAATTGCTGTAGAGTTTTAAAAATCATTCCATACTTGTAGATAAACCCATGCTGAAATTTTGAGGTCACCCTCAAAATTTCTGTCCCAGTTAACTGTCTTGCTTACCTTTCCACTGTAACTGAGTAGATCGCAAAATTTTTGAGATCTTTCCGAAAATTATGTCCCAGTTGTAGATCTCAAAATATCTTTAGTCTTGACATTCTGAGGAAGAATCTTCCTCTCGAGAATTTTTGAGTCCATTTCAAAAATTCCATCCCAGTTTCTATTATAAAGAGGAATAGAAATCTTACATGAGATATGATCGAAATCTTGTGGCGCCTACGTATCCCGTTGAAGCAAAAATCAGGTCAAACGTAGTTCCCTCTCAAAGGTTAACAAAATAAAAAGAATTTACAAAGAAAATCGACCGAGGCCGACACAGGCCGTCTACGTATCTCATTCTTGAGAATTCAGGTCGAACGTAGTTCAAATACGAAAATATTAAAAAAGGTAAATGGGGTGACCAAAGTCGACATAGGCCACCTACGTATCTCGTTCTTGAGAATTCAGGTCAGACGTAGTTCATTACAAAAAGGGATAAAAATTAAACAAAACAAATACAAGTAAACAGAATGATTACAAGTAAATAACAGAAATGTCATTCGAAGCTTCACACACAGTATCTCTTGAGAGCATATGTGTTGATAGGTTTAGGCCATACGGTACCATCCATCTCTGACAGGACCAAAACACCTCCAGATAATACTTTTCGAACCATGTAAGGACCTTGCCAATTTGGCGCGAATTTTCCTTTGTATTCGTCTTGATGAGGAAAAATGCGCTGAAGGACCAACTGACCAACTTCAAAAATTCTGGCTCTTACTCTCTTATGAAAGGCACGAATCATTCTCTGTCTATACAATTAACCATGACAGACGACAACCATTATGCTCTAATAAATCAAAGTTAGTTGATCAATCCGCTTTCTGACCCATTCAGCATTACTAAACTCAACTTCTTTGATGATACTCACAGACAGTATTTTGACTTCAGCAGGTATAACTGCTTTTGTTCCATAAACTAGCAAGTATGGAGTAGCTCCAATCGATATTATAACAGTCGTTCGATAACCCAATAAAGCATATGGAAACATCTCGTGCCAACCTCGGTGGTTGTCAATCATTTTCCTCAGAATTTTCTTGATATTCTTATTGGAGGCTTCTACAGCTCCATTCATCTGAGGACGATAAGCGGTTGAGTTTCGGTGAGTACTTAAATTGTTCACAGATATCTCTCATCAACTGACTGTTGAGATTTGAACCATTATCAGTAATAATCGACTTGGTACTCCGAAACTGCATATAAGTTTTTGCGAACAAAATCAGCCACAACTTTGTTGGTTACCGACTTGTAAAAAGTTGCTTCCACCCATTTGGTGAAGTAATCGATGGCAACCAAAATGAATCTGTATCCATTTGAAGTGGCTGGCTCTATCGTACCGATGACATCCATACCCCAAGCTACAAAGGCCAAGGTGAACTCATAGCATTAAGTTTGTGAGGTGGAACTCAGATCAAATCAGCGTGCGCTTGACATTTATGAAATTTTTGTACAAACTTGCAGCAGTCATTCTCCATGGTCATCTAGATATAACCGGCTCGAAGGATCTTTCTTGCTAAAGTGAGCCCGTTCATATGCGGGCCACAAACTCCAGTATGTATCTGTTCAAAAAGTTCCGTAGCTTCAAAAGCATCAACGCATTTTAGAAGACCCAAATCTGGAGTCCTCCTATAAAATAATTATCCACTTAGAAAGAAATTTAGAGCTATACGGCGTATCGACTTCTTTTGGTTGGACGTAGCATCTTTGGGATAAGTTCCAAATTCCAGATACTTTTTTATAACAAAATACCAAGGCAAACCGTCTGGTTCTGCTTCAACGCAGGAACAGTGGACTGGATGTACTTTCAACTCTATATCTAGAGGATCAATATAGTATGTATCCGGATGTTTAATCATCGAAGCGATGGTGGCAAGAGCATCGGCCAATTCATTCTATATTCTGGGAGTATGTCTGAACTCAATCTTACAAAATCTTTTGCGCAACTTCTGCACATAATGTATGTAAGGTATAATCTTTGGGTTCTTCACAGCCCATTCTCCTTGAACTTGGTGAGTCAAAAAATCTGAATCCCCAATAACCAACAACTCATAGATGTTCATGTCGATGGCCATTTTCAAACCAAGAATACAAGCTTCGTATTCGACCATGTTGTTTGTGCAATTAAATCGAAGCTTAGATGCCATGGGATAGTTCTGACCAGATTCTGACACTAAGACTACTCCAATACCTTTACCTTAATGATTTGCCGCTCAATAAAAGAATAATCTCCAACCAGAATATGCTTTAGAATTTTCTTCACCCACAAATGACACTTTTTCATCGTGAAAATAAGTCTTAAGTGGTTCATACTCTTCATCAACGGGACTTTTTGCAAGATGATCAGTCAAAGCCTGTGCCTTTATCGCTTTCTAAGTCACATACACAATGTCAAATTCACTCAATAACATTTGCCACTTAGCTAACTTTCTGGTCGGCACGCCTTCTGGAAGATATACTTCAGTGGATCCATTCTCGAAATGAGGTATGTAGTATAAGAAAACAAAAAATGTCTCAGATTCTGGGCAAGCCATGTAAAAGCACAACACTTTCTCTCCAACAAAGTGTAACGAGACTCGTACGGAGTAAAATTCTTGCTTATATAATAGATAGACCTTTCCTTCTTTCCTGTCTTGTCGTGTTAATCAAGTGCGCATCCGAATGCACTATCTGAAAAAGACAAGAGCAACAAAGGACTCCCTTCCCACGGAGGAACCAATACCGGTTGATTGGACAAATAGTTCTTGATAGCATCAAAAGCAGATTGACACTGTTCAGCCCACTTTGTCAGGACATCTTTCTTCAATAGCTTGAAAATAGGCTCACACACCACGGTTGATTGAGCTATGAATCGAATGATATAGTTTAACCTCCCTAAGAAACTCATCACCTGTTTTCTCATCTTTGGCGGAGGTAACTCTTGAATTGCTTTAATCTTAGAAGGGTCAAGCTCAATACCCCTTCTGTTGACTATAAATCCTAACAACTTTCTGCCTGGAACTCCAAAAGCGCATTTGGCGGGATTTAACTTCAAATTGTAACGATGCAAATGATCAAAGAATTTCCTTAGGTGTGTCAAGTGGTCCGAACTCTCGTGGGACTTGATTATGACGTCATGCACATACACTTCAATCTCCTTGTGAATCATGTCATGAAATATGGTCGTCATAGCCCTCATGTAGGTAGCACCAACATTATTGAGGCCAAACGACATCACTCATTACTGTAATGATATACACCCTAAGGTGTAATAAAAGTTGTCTTTTCTACATCTTCCTCATCCATCATAATTTGGTGATAGCCTGCATAACAATCCACAAACGACTGCATTTCATGCTTGGCACAGTTATCAATCAAACTATGAATAGTCGTCTATGGAAAATTGTCCTTCGGGCTAGCTTTGTGAGGTATTTTTAGTCGACTTAAATCCTGATTTTTTTTGTCTTTTTGGCGATCGGAACAACATTGGCTAGCCAAGTTGGATATTGTGTCACTTCCACCAATCGAGACTCTATCTGCTTGGTGATATCTTCTTTAATCTTTAAACTCAGTTCAGTCTTGAACTTTCGAGTTTTTTGCTTCACCAGCTCGAACCCCAGATTAATCGACAGTTTATGAGATACGACATCGATACTAAGCCCTTGCATGTCACCGACTTCCCAAACAAACACATCAATATATTCAGTAAGCAAATGAATTAAGCCTTCTCTCTAAGCTTCATTTAGGTGGATGCTGATCTTAACTTCTTTAACACATTCTGGATCCCCCAAATTTATCATTTTTTTCCCTCTATATTTGGTTTATGCTGATTTTTGAATTGCCAAAATTCGTCGGCGACATACTCTGGTTCCTCAGTTTCTTCTTGTGATCATAAATCTCGCCATTACCACACTCATTTTGTTCATTCAGCTCGTAACATGACATGACATTGGCAAGTCTAAAACTTACATTACTGAAACCATAAAAAGACAAAGTTAGGAATGTAAAGTATAACAAACGACTAAATAAATAAATTTAAAAACAAAGAGACTTTCATTCAAATTTAAAAACAATGCAAACTTCGGCCATGGAATAGGTCTATGTTGCCTTCTTTGAACATCACAATGAAAATTCGAAAATTCAAACAGTTAAGAAAATGCAAAATCGTGGGTCTCAGGCCTCTTTCGGACTACCACCGATTTTAATGTGCATGAAACGATGCCTTTCTACTGAGGTGATTGGGGGATCTAGATGGGCATAGAGGTCTAATTTTGCAGCATCTCTCCCGGCTCAGCGTCGCGGATACTAGCTAGCTCAACCTCTTCATCAACAACAACATCGATCTCCTCAAAGAGGTCACAGATTCCTTTCCCAAGGTCTTCATGCTCGGCATACTCCCGAACTAGGAAGGTTTGAATAAGAGGTAGGATCGGCTTTGCCAATGCTTTATCATTTTTCTTCTTTGTCTTCAAGTCATCATCTGTGGGGATGTACCCCAAACCATATTTGACTCCCTTGAAGAGGACTGAAACAGGCTCAATAATTCCTTGGGAATATCTTCACAATCCGAAACCTTGTTCAAAACCATTCTACAGCATCACAATGGCTATCATCTTGTATACGACATGCATGGGTGTCTGTAGGGCCAAGTCTTCACCGGTGGCATTCATCAGCTCCACCGTGTAGAAATTTGTACCTCGCGATATCTCATCAATGATTGGCACCTGTCTTTCAGAGTGATTCCCTTCGCCATGAATAACCAACTCTTTGTTTTTCCACACGAGCTTCATCATCTGATATAGAGTAGAAGAGACGACTCCATCCATATGGATGAAAGTCCTTCGCAGAAGGTTATAGCTGGTATCGACATCCAATACTTGAAACTATGCACTGAATTCTGCTGGACCCATTTGGATGATCAGATTAATAACTCCCAACGTATCTCTCTGAACCCCATCAAAGGCTCTTAAGTTGACTTGGTTTTGTTCCAGCTTCCCAAGGTCAAACCTTAGCTGCCTCAACGTCGACAACGAGTAGATATTAAGACCAGATCCATCATCTACTATGACGCAGTTGACAACCTTTCAGCAGCATACCACAGTGATGTGCAACGCCTTGTTGTGTGACCTCCCTTCGAAGGAAGCTCATCGTCATAAAAGTTGATTCGATGCCCTCGAATAACCTGGTGAATCATAGTGGCCATGTTATCACTGCTTGTGCCCGTGGGCACATACGTATCATTGAGAGCCTTCATCAAGCCTGCCTCTGCGATTGAGAACTCATCAGCAGGGCCCATACAGAGATCTAGGCTGGAGTCTTCTCCAAATGTATGACGATAGAATAATCTTTCGGTTTCATTCTTCTCCAGAATTCCACCGCTTCTCCTTCGCTTATTGGCCTTTCATTCTGATCCTTCTTTTGACCTTCGAGAGCAAGCTCGTCTGGACTGTGACATCTTTCATATCTGGTCATGCCTTGAGCAGCAACAATTTGAATAACAGACTTAGGCTTGAAGAGAGTTTTTGATGGCACCAAAGCAACAGCCTTTGCGGGTGTCAAGATAACAAACTATTTATTCTCTTTGATACTCAAAGAAGCTGCATCCTTTTCCAAATCATCGTGAACGATGGGAGTAATAATTTTCATTCCACACCATTCGTCGTCTGTCTCAATCATATTGACATTTTTGCTCCATGATTCGGCAACGGGTTGGTGTTGACATTCGTTGCCGCTGGTTGGAGAGAGACTACCTCTTGATCAATCAAATCCTGAATTTGTGCTTGAGGTTGATATAATCATCAGTATCATGCCCAACACTGTTGGAATGATAAGCACATCTCTAATCGGGTCTTTATAATATTAAATTGACATTTACGGGGTTGGGCCCCATAGGGTGGATGTATCCGGTCACAGCCAGTCGCATGTACAGATTTGTTTGGCTTTCAACGAGCGCACTGAATTTCCTTGAAGGCTGCTTCTCGGGGAGGGTCATAACTTCCTTGTTGAGGAGGAGACACCTGTTGATAACTTCTGGTATTTGGATGCGAAGCCTGGCTTCTAGGATATGGATTTGTTTGGTAATTTGGCGATGGAGCTTGGTAATTCGGGGGTGGGGGGAATTTTGGTATAATGAATCTTGGACTTGATAAATATGAGGGGGTGCTCTGTAGCTCGACTGCACGTTAGTACAGTTGGGAGCAACATCCAGGTAGGGATATGGGATTTGGTAGGGTGGAGGATGATTTGGATAAATGGGGATAGACTTTGGTAATTTGGCGGTGGACTTTGGTATAGTGGATCTTGGACGTTTGGATAAATAGAGGTAGCATTCTAATAAATAGGAGGATATTTGGGATGACTGGCTTGTGGGTAGCGAGCTTGGTGGGAATTTTGAGAAGGTTGAGAGCGACCTTGGGAATACGACGAGCTTCTAAAGGTTTTCCTTCCCCTATATGAAACAGTAGTGATTTCCTCTCTTTTATTTTTCAATAATCCTGAAGATCTAGGAGATGCAGCTACACGGACTATCTTTCCTGATTTTAAACCGTCCTCGATAGTCTCACCAATCTTGACTATCTCAGTGAACTTTACTGCAACGAGCAACATAATTCTATCATAATATTCAGGCTCTTGCATGCGCACGAATACTGCAATGATTTATTTCTCAAACATGGGCGGTCTCACCTTTGCTGCTTCTTTTCTCCACCTATAGGCGAACTCCCTATAGCTCTCGATCGATTTTTGTTTCATCTTCTCCAAAGAGTATCGATCTGGAATAATTTCTACGTTATAAGCAAATCGATCGATAAAATCTTTGGCCAATACATTCCAGCTAGGCCACTACCTAGTTTCATGCGAGGTGAACCATTCAAGAGCTTCTCCACACAGGCTTCGGCTGAAGAACCATATTAATAAAGTTTCATCCCTTCCAACTCCCACGAGTTGGTCGCAGTAGGCTCTCAGATGTCCCATAGTATTTCCCACTCCTTCAAAGGTGTCAAACTTGGGGATCTTGAACCCTTTTGGAAGGTCCAAATATGGATGAATACATAAGTATTCATATCTAAGCCCGGCGATATCAGGGATGCATTGGAGCTCTTTCGTGGACTTCTTGATCTTTTCTTTTATGTCGACCTTTTACTCTTCCTTTGCCCTCCATTCCTTTTCCTGTTCCTCATAATGGTCCAGCTCAGAACCGTGCACATCGTGCTCGGCAGGGACGGGAGTTGGGAAAGTGGCTCTTTGAGGTAAGGCTGGAGCTACAGAGGGACTTTGAGCATTTTGAGCGGTTTGATAATTCTGTGGGTACGTTTGAGGATTTGTATTCTAGTTTAAATGGTTGTTGGGTGTTTGGGGATTGAAAGTATTTTGACTTTGATTTTGATTCTGATTTTGCGGTGGTGGAGCGATTTGATGGTAAGTATTTTGATGATGAGGTGGCATCTGGGGGTGGTTGTTTTGAGGAGGAGGTGGAGTTTTGGTAAGATGCAGAAGCATATCGGGGATTTTGAATAGTCAGTTCTATAATCGACGGATTTTGAGCAGGTGTATATTGCTGGTTTTGAGTTGGATCCATATTTGAGGAAGGAAAGAAGATTGGAGCCCTCCCATCAGCACTGTTAGCAGCAATCCTGGTGGAGGCAGATCCTGTCTTTTTTTCATTTCTACTCTTATCTCTGCAATCTGTTGCGTCAGCTGTAGAATCAACTCATTCTGGTCCGCTATAGTGGGTTGGGCCACCACAACATCAGTAAGACTTACTTCTTCGTTATTATCCCCCATAATTGTCTTTCCTTTGTCTAGGCTTTGTCTAGGGAAGGAATCTGCGGAACCTTTTAATTTGGTAAAATAGGGATGATCTTCCAGCTTTTAATCGACACAGATCAGTTTCAAAGAACCTGAGAAGGAAAAACAACTAAAAGGCAGATTTGTCAGTGCAAATTTATAATACAAAGTGCATAATATCACACAAAGAGCATATAAACACACAAGTTGCTTCCTTTGAGGATATCTTCAACCCACGAGTGAAGACAAAAACACATTTTTTAACAAGCAGGAGTTTGCTTGTTTTAGTTTTGACACTGTGTCAGAAAGGCAAAATTACATTGAGCTACAGTCTTCTTGCAGCTGCTCTTTGACGTCAGTTGATGTGGTCTTCGTAACTTTTTGTAACATGGAGGGGAGAATGAATGTTTTTTAAAGATAGGGGCCGAACTTGGAGAGGCTATCTTCGTA